AGCTTAAATAATATTTGGAGTTGTGGAGTTATAAATATTATTTTAGTTTGGTAGAAAGTAAGTTGGGAAATATAATTTGGAACCGAAGCTTAATGATTCGTTGGTGTTAATAAATCGTTAGTTTTAACAAATCAATGCATTAATCTTTTTGATGATATCAAATCAATGTTTGACGATTTGATGTACATTTGTTAAAATTCGTATTAATGCACACTTCGTTATTTCTTGGTTTCGGTGAAGGCTTAACGAAAGTTTAGTTTCGTGCTTTGCCTGACGCGTGAAAAGAATTAGCGAAAGTTGATGGCCCTTTTGTTGAATTCGTTGGTTAAGCGAATTGCATTCGTCTTAAACAAAGAATCTCACGAAAATGGTTTGCTCCTTTCGGCCACATGAAACTAACGAAGGTAGTTTCATTCAAAAGCATTTTGGCTTGTGTGTACTGCATGCATGTATGTTTTAATATATATTATTTATTTATTTTGCATGTTAACATGCAATGTTTTAATAAATATATAATATATATTTTACTTTGTTTTCTTTGTATGCAGTGCATGAACCCACGAAGGTTCATATCATATGAATATATATAATATTCAATTATATATTTTCCATACTTATATATCAGATAAAATATATCTTATGGAAGTTGAGTTTTTGAACTTCTATAACTTTCATGTAACTTCTCCAAACTGCTTTGTTTGCATCTATAAATATTTGGAGAAATGTTTGAGAAGAGACATGCAATAAAGAGTGAATTCCATTTTTGGTCCTACTGTTATAGGGGCGTTTTCAATTTTAGTTCAGCTTAATTTTTTTTGCCACTTTATAACCACTATTATTGAATGTGTTCCACTTTTAGTCTCACTGTTAGTATTTCCATCAAGAGATCGTGTAATCTAGGGGTATTTTGACATTTCTTCTCATCCAAGACTATGTTTGACTAAAGAAATGAGAACATTAAACCTAAAACCTAAGAAACCTCGCCGGCCCATGTTGGAACGAACGAAAAGATGTAGCTTTGGCTTCCCAATCTCGTTGTTCGAAGAGCCATCTTCGAATATCGATCGGAGGAGGAGGAAGAAGCGTCTGGATTAAAAGAGAAGAGACAAACATAAAAAGACCAAAATACACATGGATTATATGGCCTCTTGACGGAAATATTAACGGTGGACTAAAAGTGGAACACATTCAATAACAGTGGTTGTAAAGTGGTAAAAAAAATTAAAGTGGACTAAAATTGGAAACGCCCCTATAACAGTAGGACCAAAAATGGAATTGACTCTGCAATAAACTTGCATAAGACTGAGATATTTCATAGTACTGCTTTTCTACAGGAAATTCTTAAACAAAGCAACTTAAGAATTTCATCATCTTCTTGTATCCCATAAGATTAAATCTTGAACCTTGTTGCTTTATATAAGGGAGATTTAAAGCTTATAGGAAAGTAATCACACGCCTGAAGATCCTGTTTCCTCACTTCCCTATCATCAAACACTCTATTTTTCTAACAATCTATAAGCTTTAAATACTGTTTTTGAGGAAGGATGAGTTCTGGACTTCTGGACTTTGCAACCAACTTCCCTAAGTTGGAGCAGTTTGAAGGCGTGGGCTTCCGTAGGTGGCAGAATAAGATGAAGTTCCTCCTTGCGGCTCTGAACGTGGCATACGTACTAAGTACCCCAAAGCTGGAGGAACGGGAGGATGAGACTCTTGAGGCTACTCGCCGGAGACTCAAATGGGAGAATGATGACCTTGCTTGCCGCGACCATATTCTAAACGGTATGTCTGACACCCTCTTTGATATTTATCAGTATGAGGAATCCTCAAAGGACCTCTGGGATGTACTTGAAGAAGCAAAAGGCCAAAAAGGCAACCTGAAATAGAGAAGTAAAGAAAAACCAAGGATGACTAGCAATATAAAATCAACCAACTCTCATCACTAGAACTATCCTCTAAAAGCATGATTGCCATGTGAAATAGATAGAAGGGTTTGATGGAATGGACTGGCCTAAGGAAGTGCATAAGAAATTACCTACAATATGTCAAACTAAGAAATGGTCCCCATGTGTTTAAAACTACTCACTGTTTTTTTTTTTTCTTTTTTTTTCCCCTGCAATGTAAGGTCTTTTTTACTGCATTTCTATTCATAAACAAGGAATTCTCAGGTTTTGTAATTTTTGACACACAAGCATACTTAAGATTGTACCATGTACTCACGAAGACACCAAACTAAAACTAAAGCTATTCACAAACTAAATTACACAAATGCATAACCATTTATTTTAGGCAAATTGATTTCCAGTCTAGAGTGGTCCCAATGCACACACATGGCAGTCGAACAACAAGCAATATCACCAAACAATACAAGTAATACAACAAAAAATTATCATACCCATTACCCAATAATCTGAGCATTACAACCAATTTATACATAATGAAGTGCAATTACAAAACACAAAAGCAAAACAATAGCCGTATAGTCATATTACAAGAAGAAAAGGAAGGTCTAGAAAACACACAATAAATAAGGACACAATAATCAGAGCAATTTATCTTCATAGAATCTGTTAAATAGGGAATTGGAAGAAGAGAAAGAAAGGCATGTCTAAGAACAAACACTTTGCACATCTAGATTATTATCTCCGTGAAGAACAAAGTAACCTGGTTATTGCAGATGGACGGTGGCTGTGGCGAGCGGAGACGGTGACGGCGGCTGTGGCGAGCGGAGACGGTGACGGCGGCTGTGGCGACCGGAGACAGTGACAGACTGACAGTGGTTATGGCGGGCGGAGGCAGTGTGTCATGACCCTAAGTATAGAAGAGGAATACATGAAGAAGAGAGAAGCCACTCTGATTCAAAAATAAACTAAGTAAGAAAAGTCGAGGACTAAAACGACGGCGTTTTGGGTGTTATAATAGCCGTTGCCACTTAAACCAGACGACGTCGTAGGAAGAAGACCGTTTTTTAAATAAAAGCTGAACGACGTCGTATGAAGGAGGGCGGTTGGCTACCTTAGCAAGGATGATTCTGGAATGAAGATGCAGAAGAGGACAAAAGCGAGAAATGCGGAGGTGGTTAGGATGGTAGCAGCATTAGCTTTTTGGGATATATTCCAGATTATGTAGAGGATATTTTTTATGCTTTTTGTATGTTGGAAATGAACTTGCAAAAACCCTAATTTCTTTTCCTAAATTTCTCCTAGAACCCTAAATCTTCTTCTTCTTTCTTAATCTTTTCCTGTGATTTTTGTTATTGAGTTTGGAGGATCGTGACACAGTGACGGTCGTCGCGTCCGCACCTGTGGCAGAGGAAAGGGCGTTCAGCGGATGTGGAGGCGTTCGCCGTTGAAGATGGCTGCGGCGGCGTTCGCCGTTGAAGATGGCTGTGGCGGCGTTCGCCGTTCGCCGGAGGAGCTGAGATCGAAAGTTTTTAATTTTCAATTCATTCGATTTGTTATTGTTGCATAAGGTGCAGGGGGTAGGGTTTTTTTATTGTTTTTTTAAATGAATTTTAATTATTTTTTTTTTAAAATAAATTCTGCCACTGTTTCAAAGAGAAACGGTGGCGTTTTATTTTTCTATTTCGCCACTGTTTCAACTAGAAACAGTAGCGAAATATTAAAGCGTTATTTCAATTATTACGAAATTGCCACCGCGAATTTTTGAATTAAGAATACACCACTGTTTTTTTTTTAAAACAGTAGCTAAATGCCAGTCTCATATGCCCTGTTTTGTACTAGTGATCCTGTTTCCTCACTTCCCTATCATCAAACACTCTATTTTTCTAACATTTTTCAACCTCCAGGCTTCAGCTAACATTTTAACTAAGTTTACTGCACCAAGTTAACTATTTTTGTGTGTCAATAACAGAAGAAATGAGTCATTTTTTTCTAGAAAAATTAAAAATTAAAAATATTCCAAAAATTGGACTAGTCAATTTTGGCTTATTTTGACCACTATTATCTGTTTGATTTGGTTAAAAAAATTAATATAAGTGTTTGATTAATTAGCTTTCTGTAACAGCTTATTATTCCAAAATGCTAAAATTCAAAAAGCTATTCAAAGTAGATTTTTCGATTGTTTTTTTGAGAGAGTCATTTTGCATGTAATCAACTAACAACTAATGTACCAAACATATTTTTACATTCAGCTAATGTTATCAACTAGTTAAACTCATTAACCCAATCAGTTAACAACTATTTACCAAACACTCAACCTTAATGTTTATCGGTGTGCCTTCAAGCTCCCAAATGAAGAGCTACCTCTTTTGGAAGAGGATATTGAGAGCACACAAGGACAATCCCATTGTTTACTAAAACCATTTTTTCAAATTGAAAAATGGAATATTGCTCTCCAATTTTTTAAAATTTGAAGAATCCATTTTATTAATTCTCCAAAATTGGAGAAATGGAGAAAGACAAGGATAAACGGTAGATTCATACTTCAATTCCTTGCAACAACATTTTTAACATATTTTTCTTAGAGAAAACAAAACTGGTGAAACAATGAAAAACTCAGAAATGAACAACTGAATCTAAATACAAGTGAAAGAGTGGTGACAATCCTTGAGATAGTCATGAGCTCCTCGTCAACATATCCTTCATATAATGATTATTTTTTCTTTGAGTTTTACTATATGAACTCTTAATCACTATCTCGGCCTTTACATTTACTTACTGTTGTAATAAGATATGATAAGTTATTTTCATTCTGTAGGTCTTAAAGAAAATGACAACGTTAAAATTTTGAGTAAATGAGTAAAAGTATAAAGTATATAATAGAAGTTGGGAGTCGAAACAGTATTTTAATTTTTGTTAATGTGGAGCCCATATATTTGATAACATGGCAATTCTCCGTTGGCGGAGGGTGAGAATAACCATGGGCAGTTTCCAGTGGAATGCAAAGCTGTTGAAGTACACGTGTAGTGGGAGCTGTCGCTTACTGACAACAGTCTTAGCAAGTTGCCAGTTTCTGCCCCTTTACTTTCCCCATTATTATTATTATTATTTTTTTTTTGTTTATCCGCAAAACAATACCTCCTCCCTTACCCAACTACCCAGCTCTTTCTCTTCTCTTATCATGGCTGGAAGGAAAAGAAGGCGGCTGAGATCGTGAGCTCTTTGTTTTTCCTCTTCTGTTTTTTCGTCTAACAATTCTTCTTTTGCTTGATTTTGTATGTTTTCTGACCATTTCTTAGCTTTGATCTTGGTTGGGATATTCCAGGATTAGTAATTTGATGCTCTGAGTTTAATTTAGATAGTCATCTGTGGGTTTTTAGCTCAGTAGATCAAGCGCAATTCAGTTTATTGGTTTCAAGAATGTAATTTTGGCTATAAAGTTTGAATCTTTTGGTGTGATTTGGGGTTGAGTTTCTATAGAAATGAAAATGTTCAATCTTAGGGTTTTCCTGTTTGATTTTCTTTTCACTTGATTAGCTTCTTGTTAGTTTGTGACTGATAAAATTCGAGCTGGGATGATAATTAAATTGAGCTTAATTTTATAATTTTTTGTTTGATTTTTACATTTTTTCTGAACCCCCATTTAGCTTTTTTCTTTTAATCTGTCTGTCTTTACTTGGATTTTATTGGGAAATTGGTTATATTCAGTGAATTATATGTTCTTGTTTCCTACTGCAAACCAGAAACCATTATAAACCGATTCCTTCCTATGGTGATCTTTTTAGTTTATCATTTTTATCTCATTTCTGCTTCTCTGAGGTAAACTGGGTTGGTTGGTTTAATTGTGTTCTTTTTTGCATAGCTGTTCTGTTTCATATTTATTTGCATGATTGAACTTAAAATTGAGTAACAATGTTGTTCTTCCTGTGTCTTTGTTGTTTTGGAGAGAAGGTACTGATTAAATGACAGTATTGATATTTCTAGGTTAGTCGAAAGGGCCCTGGAAAATGCAGGAGGACTAGTTGCAGTTGACGAAAGTGAAAGCTCTTTACAACAGGCGCGATCTGAACTTCCAACAGACATTCTGGAAATAATTATCGGTCACTTGAACTTGAGGGATAACATCCGTGCTTCTGCTGTTTGCAAACGGTGGCGTTCTGTTGCCCTCTCTGTCCGGGTTGCCAATAAGCCCCCATGGCTTATGTTCCTTCCAAAGTTCGGCGACTTGGTAGAATTCTACGATCCTTCGTTGCGCAAGACTTATTCGGTTGAGTTACCCGAGTTGCGTTCCTCTAGGCTTTGTTACACCAAGGACGGATGGTTGCTACTCTACAAGCCCAGAACGCAACGTGTTCTGTTCTTCAATCCTTACTCTAGGCAGTTAATCAATTTGCCGAAATTAGAACTGACGTATCAAATCGTTGCGTTTTCTGCTGCTCCGACATCTCCCAAGTGCATCGTTTTTACTGTTAAGCATATCAGCCCCACCGTGGTAGCTATTAGCACGTGTCACCCCGGAGCAACTGAATGGACGACTGAGAATTACCAGAACCGCTTGCCATTTGTGAGCAGTATCTGGAACAAATTGGTTTTTTGCAATGGCCTATTCTATTGTCTGAGTCTGACGGGATGGCTGGGGGTTTATAACCCGGAAGAGCATTCTTGGGTTGTCAGAGTCGTGCCACCGCCCAGGTGCCCCGAGAATTTCTTTGTCAAGAACTGGTGGAAGGGGAAATTCATGGCAGAACATAATGGAGATATTTATGTTATATATACTTGCTCTACTGCCAACCCGGTGATATACAAGTTAGACCAAGTTAATAGAGTCTGGGAGGGAATGCAATCTTTAAGTGGTTTGACACTATTTGCAAGTTTCTTGTCATCCCAAGCAAGGACAGATATCCTTGGGGTGATGCGAAATAGCATTTACTTTTCTAAAGTTCGTTTTTACGGACGGCGATGCATATCGTACTCTCTAGCCCATGACAGGTACTACCCTCGAAAGCAGTGTTATGATTGGGGAGAACAAGATCCGTTTGAGAGCATTTGGATAGAACCACCCGAAGACCTTTCAGCCTTTGTTTAGGGGGCTCGTCGCACAGGTAATAGTGTTAAAGTACTAAAATTCCTGATATCAGTATTCTGTATAGTTTTCGTAAGAATGTTCAAAAATAGTCGAAGCTGTATGATTATTTCTCGTGTATTTAGTGGGTGGATAAAATTGCCCATGTTTCAATCTATTGTTTCAGGTACATAAATGTATATGATGGTTGAAACTTAGAAAAGGCCTTTATCTTCATCTGCATTTTCTACATCAACATTCCAGGACTATTGGACTAAACGATTCTGCATCTTTCAGGATGGTTGAGTAGGAGTTAATTGGCCTTCAAGGTTGCTAGATAGATGAGCAAAAACGAGCTCGCAACCCATAATGCTAATTTGCTTCCCTGCCGGGTTGTCATTTCAACAAGCAAGTAGAGGTAATTTTTATTATAGGTAAGCTTGTACTGTAAGTTGTAAGGTACTTGAGCTGCTATGATATTTCTAATTTCTTGGGACTGTTGATCAAATAAGAACTTTGAGACATTTCTGCTCTTTAAATACATTCAATCCCTTTTAATCTCATAGTTTGTAAGTAATATGCATACAAGGATTTCAAGAACTTGTAATCATGATTCTCTTTTAAAGGTGTCATTCTTCTTTTATGAGTTATGAAGGGATAAAAGGGAATGGGATTTCTGATAGTCCAACTATCAGCTTAGGCGTATTTAGTCAAATCATTCAATTTGGTATCTGCAGATAAACCTATGGGGGTTCAGATCTTAAAATATTTTTATTTTTCTTGGTTAATGCCAACACAAAGTGGCAATCTACATGAATAATGTCACTAGAATTGTATTTTCTTTCTAAATTGAAACACTATGAAAAGGAATTATATCATATTCTATGGAGTATAAAATAAAATAAAAGAGAGGTAATTGAAGATAGCAGAGGGAGGGTGTGTTTGGACACACTGAAATCATATCTGTGAGTGTTGTGAAGGGTTTTCATTTCTCTCTGAGTTTCTTGGTTATGGCGAAGAAGGCGCCGGCAACCGCCACGAACACTGCGGAGAAGATGATGGTTGTCTTCAATGTCTGCAATGCTGCATCCTTTTTCTCTTTTTCTTTTGCCTTCTTAGATGCCTCTTCTCTCTCCTGCATACAAACATGTTCCGGAGTATTTTTTTTATTCTCCCAAAAGGTTGAATATCTAACTCCAGTCTTATAAAACATATGAACATGTGAGATGATGTAAATCATGGTAATTCAGCATCTCAGTAGATGTACGGAATTATCTATTGAATCTGAATCTCTAACCCGAGTCTTAGAGAACATGTGTGCATGTGAGGATCTAAATCACGGTAATTAAGTTGCTGAACTATCTATTTATCTATTTGAATTGGTGGATTTAGTGAACTAAGCTAGTGCGGATAACATGTTATTTTTGAAAACACTACTTCATGATCAAATTATTATGACAATTTGTTTTTAAATTTTAAGTTGTCGTATCAAACATAGGTTCCCATGGCTTTGTACTAAACGATCCCTACAAATCATTAAGGGGCCATATGGCCTACAATGGCTAATAATTTGTTATGGACATTACAACCTGATTGAAGAGATAATTAAGATAATGATGTTGAGAGATTAAAGATGTCATGTTTGATAGACATCTTTAGAGTATCACCAACAGCAAGATTTGCATTCAATTCATTCCCTAAAGATATATTCGTACCTTATTCTCGGCATTGGAGGATAGGTTTGAAGAAACGGAATTAACTTGAAACTCCTCCTTATTCTTTTCAGGATTCAACTCGATTTCTGCATCAGCTGCCGGAAAAGTACCCCCAGAATCAGCCATATTGATCGAGAGAGACAATAAATATATATATATCTTAATTAGGGTTGAAAAAAAATGCAAAATTCCACCACCCAGATAGAATGTATATAATTGATGGTGGTTTGTTATAAACCCATCCAGTACTATACGTTGAGAAAGATAGAGAAGAGTAATAATGTGAGTAGGTGGAGTTTAGGGTTAAGGATTTTTAATTTGAGGGGAGACGTCATCACACATGCATGGCACCATATATGTATCCCAACACTCCGATCCTAAAATGTCTACCATTATTCAGGATCTTAACTGCTCCTATTATTTCAACTCTTTCAACTGCCCGATAATCATGTTTATGCCCATCCATTAACGTTGGATCATTAATCACTTATTCATACTATCATTACTTACCAATTCATACTATCATTACTTACCAATTCATACTTACTACCCCGTGTTTAATTTTATTTTTTTTTTAAATACTATTGACTCTATCACAATGTAGTATTTTTTCATACATACCTGAGACTTCTCATTTAAGGGGACGCCTTTGTTCTCATTTCTTTCATGGGCACTTGTCACAGTTGAAAATTATGAAATCTTTTGGTATCCGAAAAAACCTTTATTGCTATTTTCGACCACTTTTTACTTTCAATTTGATTTAAGATCACTTTCAGGTGGTCGAAAATTCCATAATTTCAAATAGTGTATGTTCTCATTAGAGCGTGCCCATTATATATATATATATATATATATATATATATATATATATATATATATGTGTGTGTGTGTGTGTGTGTGTGTGTGTGTGTGTGTGTGTGTGTATATACACACACACACACACACACACACACACACACACACATATATATATATATATATATATATATATATATATATATATATGGTGCTGATTCCGAGGCGACCGTTGCAGTCGCAGAGGCCGGCAGTCGTCGACACGTGGCGAGGGAAGGAATGACAGCTGGCCGGTCGGTTTGATGGCTGACGGTTGGGGCTTCTTCATCCTGTCCCGTTTTTTCCCGGACGGTCAAAAAGGCACAGGCTGGGGGGCTCTTGGTAGGGAATACCCCGACCGACATAATGGTACCCCGACCCCAGTGCCTTCGTCTTTTTCTTCTTGTCTTTGCAGGTTACAGGTCGGACTGCTTGTGAAGAACCCGGTCGGGATGCGCTATTGGCGTGAGTGTGCTTAATGTGCTTGAGTTTTGTGCATAAGGTGCGTGAGTCTTGTGCTTAAGGTGCCTGAGTTTTGTACTTAATGTGCGTGAGTGTGTACTTAATGTGAGTTGTTATTAAAACTTAAGGTGCGTGTGTTTTTGTGCTTAAGGTGTGTGTGTTTTGTGCTTAAGGTGCATGAGTTTTGTACTTAAGGTGCGTGAGGGTTGTGTTTAAGATGCGTGACTTTTGTGCTTAAGGTGCATGAGTTTGTGTTCTGAATGTATTTTGCTTGTATGTTTAATGTGCGTGTGTTGTTGTAACACTCTGAAATTTTTAAAAACTTTTAAGACTATGTAACAAAGGTAAATGGTCATAAATCCCAAAATGCTTGTAAGAATACGGAGTGTTATGCCACACCCGAGCTAGAGAACTCAGGTGCACAGGCTAAGTTCTAAAACCTCAATCAGTATTAATACAAAATCATGGCACGCAGGCCGAAAGGGAAAACTATCTAATCTACGCCCCAAGCTTCTAGCGCGCTCCAGTGATCTACTCGTCTGTGCCTGAAAGCCAAATATATCTGTTCAGCGAGAGATGTTGTTAACCCACTCCAACGCGTTGAAATACAATACATATAAATATATACATAGTTATACGAAAAACCATTTCGAAGCATGAAGATATATCCTAAGAGACTCTAGCTTTCAAAACAGGGAATAGACTCACAGATAGGGCTTAGCACAGACAACGGACATAATCAAGCATAAACAATTCACAAGCATAGGGAAACAGGCAAGGCAGATAAAGATAAGCACAGTTAGTAACCATAACCCAACATATACGATTCCCGGCATAAATCCCAAAGTCACCTCCCGAGACACTCACAACAACAACTCATCCATGTCTCATCACATAGCACACTTTGTTGGCGCCACAGGACCAATCGCATGCCCATACATGAGGGTCAGCGCATATAGCTCTGACACGGCCCCGCAGCACCCTGCCCCGTATCGCAACACAGAGGGGTCGATCGCAACCGACCGATGAACCGCAGCTCATCATAGTTTGATCGCAACCAAACAGTGGACCGCAGCCCAAGAGTATGTCATCTTACCGCAGCCAGGAAATATGAACCGCAGCTCATGTAGAAACGTTTGATCGCAACCAAACGGTGGACCGCAGCCCTATATAATATTTATATACCTGACCGATCGCAACCGGCCTGGTTAACAGTCAGCATGGTTCTCAACCCATCCAAATGCCCGTATAACCAATTTGATCGCAACCAAATTGGGGTATCATGCACACATAACACATAGCAAGCACATGCAACCCACATTAACACATTGGGAAGGGGGAGAAAACGTATAACAAAACCTATGCGTGATCCTTCACATACTAAGAATAATCCTAAGGGGTTCATACTTCCTTCACCTAGGTCAACGGGATACCAATTCAACTAGCATGCAATATATAAGACTCATACAACCTACAAACGGTACCCGAAATATCAAACTAGACATAGGCACGATAGACGGAGTTCGTTGGGACACCACGGGGGTCGGGGGAACATCAAACGAGGAAGCCGGAAACCCGAGGTAGGGTATTTTCCAACGGGTAGCCGGTGGGTGAGGGTTCACCCGCCGGTGGCGTGACTTCGGGCAGCGGGTGCCCGGCGGGCAGCTGCCCGCCCGCCGGCTTCCTGCTGCCGGCGTTGCCCAAATAGGCCGCGGGTAGGTGGTGGGTCCCCTACCCCTACCTACCCCCCACTGACTCTTTTTCACCAAAAACTCCCCGGGAACCTTTGTGGAACCCGAAACCATGTTTAGACACTTTCAAACGCAATTGATAACACACGTAGACAATTAACGGATCAAAATCAAGAAACATACGGCACATAACCTATCATGCTTTTCTAAACATAATCAACACCCAAACATACAAATTCCCACCCAATCTACCAAGAATAATACCATACAAATTCCACGATATAACCTAGGGTTCTAATTACTTTTAAATCAACAAGAACACAATTCATCTTCTAATATCACGATTCGGTAGGAATATCATATAAACATCAAGAACATCATATAATCATCAAGAACATCAAGAACACCATATAATCATCAAGAACCTCTTATCATCAAGATTACCTATGGAATCACAACACCAATTATCAAGATCATTATGACGAATCATCAACACACAAGAATATGGGGGAAATCCTAATAGGGGAATTATAGCTATGAAAATAGGTTTTGTTGAAACATGGGTTACCTTTTAGCCTTAATTAATTCCTTGGCTATGAAGGGTCTTTCTTGAAGCTTTCTTCTTTCTTGATTTCTCCTAGGGGAATTCTTAGAACTTCTTGTGTGGTGAGGGATTATTGTGGTGGGGGTTCTAGGTGCCTCTTAAGTCCCCTATTTATATATCTAGGAGTCCTAATTAGGAACTAATATTATAGGCTTGCTAATTCTATTCCTTTTAGGGCTAGGGGTTGGGTTTTAGGGGTGAGGGCCCACGGACCATGGTGGGCCTTTTCCCTAATTAATTATTGTAATTTAATTCTT